TGTGTGTGTGTGTGTGTGTGTGTGTGTGTGTTGGTCCTAGGGCTTGAACTCAGAGCCTGGACCACTGTCTTTGAGAGTTTGCCCTCAAGGCTAGTGCTCTACAACTTGAGCCACAGCTCCAATTCCAGTTTTCCAATGGTTAATTGGAGAAAAGAGTCTCAAGGGCTTTTCTGCCCAGGCTGGCTTTGAACTGTGATCCTCAGATCTCAGCCTTTCCAATAACTAGGATTACAGGCATGAGCCACTGGTCTCAATTTATGAGCTTTTTAAAGACTCCATGTATATGTCTGAATTGATTTTCAGAAAGTTTGTGCCAATAATAGCTACCTGAGTACTTTCTATTCTATTCCTTTTATATAGACTTTATTTCATCTGCTTTACAGATTAGAAAACTAAGGTATATTGACATGATTTGCCCAGAATCATTGAGATAACAAGTATCAAAGCTAGAATTCACATTCAGAAACATTGTCTCATAGCTTCATGTTATTTCCATGTAGATTTCAAAAGTAAATATTTTAATTATCCAATTATATATTTATTAAAGAAAATGCAGGAAATATACATTGAATGTAGAAAGAATAACGAATTACCCAAGTCCATCATTTCCAAACAGGTTAGTGAATTTCCTCAACCTTTTTTTCCAGATATGACTTTGAGACTAAAAGTAACTATCATATTGTATATATGGTTGCATTCTTCCCTTTGCACATTTTCAATACTGTTCCATAATTGTCATAGACATCATTTTAACAATTGCATATTATTGTAAAGTGAGTGTTAAAACTGTTCACGTCACCTGTGACTTTCTTCTTTTCATTCCCAGGACCCACCATCTCCCATGAGGCTTTCAGAGTTCAGTGTTGGGAACCATTCTAATCCTCAAAATCAGTCACCACGTTGGCGTGATTCCTTCACAATTTGAAAGCATTCCATCTAATACTTGCAGTGCAGATGTTTCAGGACGTTACAAATTAATTTACTGAATGAACCCCAGTTTGGCATTAATTACTTCAAGTTAGTTTTTTTTCCCATTCTTGCCCGCACCAATCCATGAAAAGCCTAAGTGTAAAATGTCTGTCTTTACATTCATCCTGTCAGGTAAAAGGGAACTCAGAAGACTACCTTGGAGGGGGGGGGGTGTCTTTAGTTCCCCTCCAAAGACTATTAGTCATATCTGCAGGGTCTATTAGGTATTGAGGAGAATCAGTGTATATTTGCTGCTTGTGTGCATGTGCATTCATAAGCATGTATATGTGCAGCATCGCTATCCAACATTCTGCTGTAATGTCATGAAAATCAAGGTTGAAACAAATGGCAGCTTTTATTTAATCATGCTTTCCCAAATAGCAATTTAGATATTTGCCGAGCTTTGAACTATCCTTGTACCAAGTATCTAAAAGTTGAGAAGTACATTCAAATCACTATGATCAAAGTCCTCCAACTGAGAAGTGAACAGCAGTTATGTAAACCCTGTTCTCTGCCATCGACATTCCTGAACACACCATAGCTAATAGAAAAGACCTGATTAGACCAGATTTCCTCCTTACTCATCATGATTTATTTCTGGACTATCTAGCTTTATTTTTGCCTTTATAAATTACTTTCAGGATTAAAGGTTTATAGTAATAAACCTAAGTTATTGGACCATCACTTTTGTAAAGGCATTTAAAGGTGATTTTCAGGTTTAATTACAATACTGTTAAAAAAGGGTAAAGTTTCACAACTGACATTAGACTGAGGATCAGCTAATGAATGATCTCTGTTTTCCCCGCAAGGGTTAATGTACAGATAGTGAAAACTGAACATTAATGCAAGTTCTTTTTTAAGCTTCAGTGGTAGCTCAGCCATTAAGATAGTTTATATCCATTTCCCCATTTATTTATAATCAGCCTTTCTTTCAATCCTAGTGCCTGAATCAATGAGTATGGACACTAATGCTGCTTCTTTATAGTAATAATACCTAACAGTATTGATGCTTTTCATTTTTCAACCAGGACTCTAGCGCCCAGCTGCTGGCACTCTTGACAGAGATCAGTGGGAGTTAGAGACATTTTACAGATATCAAAGAATTGAGCTGCTAGAGGGATGATTAGGTTTACTAATTATTCTCCAAAAAAATCTCTTGGAGCAAAAATGAATTTCTTGCCACAAATAAATCAGTGTTGGGGCTCCAGTACAACTAAGATGGTAAGCAATCCAGGTACTTAAAACAATAGCAAAACCTTCATTTGGGCCCCCTTGGTAATTCTGACCAACATGAGGCATTTAACGTAAAGTAAATGTATTATGGTCAGCATGTTTCTCATAAGAAAAGAGTAGACATGCCTAAATCTAATAAGGACAGGGGACAGGGACAGTTTCTCAAAGTCAAAAGCTGAGGAACAGTCCAGAAGACTATGCACATTGGATTTCATGATGAAATCTTACTTGTTCAGATGGGAAGATGATTTTCCTCTTCCATTCATCTTTTAACACACGTCTCTTGTTTAGATTTCCCTTGAAAGTTTATTTGGCCATCCACATGGTTTTATAATGGACAAGCTTTGCCATCTATTCCTATTAAAATGTACCATCTTCTAAATGGGGGTACATTCCTTACTCCACAGCCAGTGGGGCTCAGGTCTTCCCCTTTCCCACCCATCATCTGCCAAGTATTCAGGCAGAACAGCTGCTACAATCAGGAAGGCATCGAGAACTTCTCTGATGCATACCGTGCACCAGCATTCAGCTCTGATGGAAATCAGGTCACAAATGATAGTGTCAGAAAACTACAGGGAACCCCCTAGAAACGGAGACTCAGGGGAGCTGTATTGCAAAGGTGATTGTTCAGAATCTTATAGACTTGTGCTGTCTATAAATGACCAAATAAATCAGGCTTGCACCTGGGAGCTTGGAGAAAAACTCTGTTTCTCTATGAGTACTTTGAGCCCACAAGTTTCCAGACTGATAATATCCTTACCCCTTGATCATTTGAGTTTTGACTATTGTACCTGATTATGGGTCAAGAAGACAGTAAGACTGGCACCCCCTGCCCTGGCTCCTTTGCTTCCTTTTCCCTGGAGCCTTGCCTAACAACCCCTGTGGGATCTCATTCCCCCAAATTTTGGTACTCTTCTTCCTAAGTGCAAAATAGAGATACTTATTGTTAAGATCCTACAGCTGAAAGGTGCTATGTAACTCCTAGTGCTCTTATATGTCTTTAATTGCAGGACTGGAATGAAAAGTTTAACCATAGCAGTATTTCTAAGCAAACTAATATGCTCCATTCGTTCTTCCATATTCTCACTACTGATCTTTTTTATTTTTCCTTACCAAGTCTAGAGTATTTTGTTAAATGTTCTTCTGTTTGTTCCAACAATATCCTTGGGAAAAGACAGAGATTATTTTTCCCATGGCAAAGGTAAAAGAGATGAAGTGCTCTCCAAAAGCACAGAGATGTAGTTCCGTTGCTACATCCAGTAAACTTGTGGAGTGATATGGCTTCCTAGTAGTAGAATTACCATGGCATAACTTAGAGTACTGACAGCAATTGGGACAGGATGACATCTCCAAAGTCCCTCTGAGTCCAAAATCTTGAAGTATGCAATTTATACAACTCTCATTTTCTAATGCAATAGGTGCCTCTTTAACCCCTTCACTAACCCCAGGTGATACAAATGTTCCACATTATATGGCATCAGCCAGTGCTATAATTTGTTATGGCATGCATAGAGCCCAATTTCGGGACTGTTTTTCACCAATGAAAAGCATGTATTTCATCGTGTTCATGCCAAGTTGCACAAAGTAAAGACATTGAAGTGGAAGGAGGTTTAAGCACAAGCCCAGCAGGTATGTTTTAAGAATATTAACTAGTGGGCACTGGTGGTTCATATAATCTATAATCCTAGCTACTCAGGAGACTGAGATCTGAGTATTATGGTTCAAAGCCAGCCCAGGCAGGAAAGTCTGTGAGACTCTTATCTGCAATAAACCACCAGAAAACCAGAAGTGGCGCTGTGGCTCAAGTTGTAGAATGCTAGCCTTGAGCTGAAGAGCTCAGGCCTGGAGTTCAAGTCCCACAACTGAAAGAACAAATATTGACTATGCATTGCTGTAATGTGCACCTCAAATTGAATAAGGCCTTAATTCACAGAAATATAACCAAGTCCAGCCCTTTGACCTCTCATCACATATACCTGTGCAAGTGCACATGAGGACACACACACATACACACACATACATACACACACACACTCTCTCTCTCTCTCTCTCTTTTTCCAAAGTTGGCTGCCAAGTCATCACACCAAATATAGAGACATGATTCTCTCTCTTCTTGAAAAAAAAAAGTTCAATAGTCACAGCAAGCAGAGAACATTCCATTTATACATTCTAAAATTTCTGCTGTCAGAGTGGCTAAAGAGACTCAGTTGATGCAAAAGATATATACTGTAGAGGGACAGAGGCCATGTAAGAAGATTGTCAGACCCTTCCACAAGTCTCATGCTCTCAGAAAATTCATGAGTTCCATCCAATCAATAGGAAATGGTTGACAATGTATGGTCCATCTGCCTTTCTTTAGCCTTAGCTGTCAGGTACCATATTATATTGCAGCCTTTTGCATGTGGGTGTTACATAAAATACTAAAATGAATGGGTGGCTCGTAATAGCATGCAATCCGTGAATTACTTTCCCAAAAGGGCTAGGGCTGTGTCCTGCACGGTGTTCAAAAATCATTAAATGTGTATTCTTTGGAGCAGCCTTGTAGACAGCCATCCACAAAACGAGTTAAAACAGACAGGAAAAAGATACTTCGTAGGCAATAGTGTTAAAGTAAAAAAAGAGAGAGAGATAAGATGCATTCAACGAATAATTGCTTTCACCCTGCTGGCTAAATCAGCAAGGAATGCAGCAGGAAAGCTGGGACTGGGTGTTAGTAATATATGAAATGTGTTGGAGAGCCAGAAAAAGAAAGACACTGGGGACCTCAGCAGTTAAGCTCAAGTTGCCAATTTGCAACAAATCCTTTTTTCCATCAATCTGCTCAAGGTGATTGTCTGTAGTATTCTTAAAACTCTGTGTCTTGCTGCAGAAATACTGACAAATGCTGGCCAGCTTTTATCTTCCTATGTCCTTTATTAAAAGTATATGCATAAAAATGGTGGTTTCTTTGTTCTGTTGTGATCTTGTGAAACAACATTGATAAAGGCTAAAGTTTCAGCTCACTCTGAAGCAAGTTTCTATACATCTCATTTCATGGGGTAGAGTGGAGTTTATTCACTCCAATGTTGACTGGTATGTGGTACCCCCTGAAATATCTCATCTTCTGAACACTCCCACCCACATGTGCAGGATTCCTCTCAGATGTTCCTACAAGAATGTGAGTTGGGAAATTAGCAGCAATGGCTTGCAGATAGAGACCAGTCTAGGAGCAATGAATAATGTGCAGTCTTCTGCTTGGCTGCACATGTCTTTTGTCTTTTACTGTGATAAGAAAAAAGAAAAAGAAGAAACTCGTTTTATGTGTGACAGGAAATCTGGTTTCCTTCTCTTGTACTGAAAATTGCATGAATTAGTCTCTCCAGAAGCATGGCACCTGAAATAAAAAAGAATACAGTGGTCCTGAGAAAAGGGCATAGGTGGGCTGGGAGTGTGGCTCAATGGTATAGCACCTGCCTAGCAAGTGCAAGGTCCTGAGTTCAAAACCCAGTACTTCAAATGACAAAAGGAGGAGAAGGAGCCCAGTGGGCACTGGTGGCTCACACCTGTAATCCTCGTTCCTCAGAAGGCTGAAATCTAAGGATCAAGGTTCAAATCTAGCCTGGGCAGAAAAGGTTTTGCAACTCTTATCTCCAATTAACCCACAAAAAGAAACACATGGAGGTGTTGAGCACAAGTTTTGAGCAAAAATGCCAAGTGAGAGAACAAGACCCTTAGTTCAAGCCCTAGTGCTGGCACAAAGAGAGGAGAGGGGTAAACATAGCAGCTCACTTAATCCTAAATCATACATTGCCTTCTGAAAAATATTTAAAGAAACTTGCAAGTAAGTTTCCTTTCAGTCAGTAGATGAATCATTTGCACAAAAAGTTATTGAGGGCTGGGAAGGTGGCTCAGTGGTAGAGTGCTTGCCTCGCATGCATGAGGTCCTAGGTTCGATTCCTCAGCACCACATAAGCAGAAAAGGCCGGAAGTGGCATTGTGGCTCTAGTGGTAGAGCACTAGCCTTGAGCTGAAGAGCTCAAGGACAGCACCCAGGCTCAGAATTCAGGCCCCATGACTGGCAAAAATAAAAATAAAAAAGTTATTGACTGAAAGAATAACAAAAGCCCATTCCCACTGACCAACCAAGAAGGGAAAAGTCATTGAAAATGCAGAGTATTGAAAGGTGAGGTTTGAAACTGTCAGTGGTAACTGACTAAATAATAATGGAGAGAGAATTGGAATCACTTGGGAGAGGTCCTACTTAGGTCAAACTTAACACCAAACCCTAAGTCTTATTCCAGATAAGCTTTTTTTAAGTAGTCACTTTGTGCTAGGTAAAATCCTCAAGTATCTCTGTGGGAAATCCCTTTCATGTATCCCATTGCATCAGCCAGAAATACCTCTCATTTTTTAACAAAAAATGTAAAAACAATCCTATCATACTAGAAACAAAGGATACCTAGTTGCTTTCTTGATTTTTTTTAAAAGGATAATGGAAATGTTTATGAAAGCCAATCTTATTTGAGTTAAGATTGCCAAGTAAATTTAAAGCATGGGCATGTAAAAAAACTATAGATATAGATATAAATAAAGATATATAATGCTTTATATTGGAACATGTAAACATATTGACATACATTTTTCTTCATGTTATAAGCAACAGAACTTTTCAAATTTAATTTTCTCACCATATGCAATGACATTGAAAAACTAGTCAGTTTCTCTTTGAATATTAAAATATTCCTTCTCACACAGTAACATGTCTCAGTGTTTAGACTACCAAATCTAGAGAAGTGGAAATTTTATGGGAAAAAAAGTGCATTTGAAGCAAACTTTTTTTAGGAAAATATCTTAAGATGTTTACAGGTTTGAAAGAAATTTTCTTCATAAATCTTAATTACAGAACTCAAATCAATTTCACAGATTTGCACAGTATCAGAACCAGATCCTGACTGTTGGCAAACTCTAAACCTTACTGTATTCTGGCTACTCAGGAAGCTGAGGTCTGAGGATTGTTTGAAGCCAGACTGGGCAAGAAAATATGTAACACTCTTTATCTCCAATTACCCACTAAAATGCCAGAAGTGGAGCAGTGGCTCAAGTGGTAGAGTGCCAGCCTTGAGTGAAAAAAGCTAAGTGAGCATGAGGACCTGAGTTCAAGTCCCAATACTGGCCTGCAGCACGTGCACGCTCACACACGCGCGCGTGCACACACACACACACACTGTAGCAGATAAATTAGTGGAAATAAACAATTGGCTGCATAAGGAAAACAAAAGTTTTGCTATTTGAACATTAAAGAATGTAGGTAAGCAGCCAGTCAAAAATGCTGTTATTCATCCATACAAACTACCCTGGACAAGAAGTACTTGTTAGAAGCAATTGTTAGATTAATGTGGTACAGAGACCCAATACAAATGTAAACCAGGAGTTTCTTTTAAATCACAAAGGTACCAGGTCTACCTGGTTCTGAGAGTTGAGAGCTCTTTGAGACATGAAGTTATCAAGGGGAAATACTGGGGAAACAAGCCAAGATGAGGTAGGAAACATCAATAGTTTAATCGCTTTTCCACCTGATAATCATTTCCTCTCATTTTTAAGATCCTCTGTTTTCTAGCTCAGTATTGTCAAACTATGAAAATTGATTTAGTCAGGCATGGTGGCACATGCCACCATGGGAGGCTGAGGCAGGAGGATCACCAGATAGAGCTCATCTTGGCTTTAAAAAAATTTGAATTTTGTTGTGAATGATCCAAAGATAATTTCAGATTTGTGATCACTCTATTGTTTCTGTCTGATTATTATAACACAACCATTTAGAGTATGTTTGTTTTTGGTTTTTAAGATGGAATCTCAGGTCTATGTTGCCCAGACTGGTCTCCAACTCTTGAGCTCAAGTGTTCCACTCCAAACTGCCAAGTACTGGGATTACAGATATACGCTACCATGCCCAGCTGAAGCACCTCTTGCTAAACATTAATTATAAATGCTTTACAAAGCTTATTCACCCGTGAGTTTGGGATAACCTCAGTTCAGCCAAGAGTCATCAGAATTTTCCTTTCATATGAGACTATACTAAAAGAATACAGACACTAGAGTCCTAGTTGATCCATTTTAAATGTATTTACTATATAGAGCCTTTTTAGTCCAGCCTAATGTAGCCTTTAAATTTACTTCTTCATAATAATACTACCAAACATTATCGTTTTTGAGAGGAAAAAATTACAAGAAAGAAAAGGGGAACAGGAGGGAGGGAGAGAGGGACAAAATTATTTGGTGTTGCCAAAAACCTTCGCTTGGTCATGTACCCCTTTCAAAATCTGGAAAAGGCTATAAACACCCTCCATACAGATGTGCATGTAAACACACACAATTTTACAAGTTCAGGAGGTTTAAAAAGGCTGTAAAATAAATTCCTACCTTCATGCTGTTTTGGTGTTTTGTTTTGTTTTGGTCATGGGTTTGAACTGGGCCTGGGCGCTGTTCCTGAGCTCTTCTTAGCTCAAGGCAAGTACTCTACCACTTGAGCCACAGCACCACTTCTTAAATTCCTATACCCTAGTTGTGAATTTCTACTTTTGTGCCCAGAGTAAAACTCAGTGGCAAAGTACTTGATTAGATGTCCTGGGTTCCATCCGCAGCACTACAAGAAAGGAAGGAAGAAAGGGAGGGAGGGAGAGGGGAAAGGAAGGAAGGAAGGATGAAAGGCTG